AAAACACAATTAGGGGAGATCGGTAATAATCCTTTCTACAAGTTACAGTTATTTGGATTATCTCTCACCAGAACAACTTTCTCTTGGTTTGTCGACCTACCACCGGGGCAAATACAAACTTGGGAAGGATTGGAGATAGCATTCCATGCCAGATTTTTCAATCCACTACCAGTTGTATCCCTCAATGATTTGCTGGAAATAAAGCAAGTACCAGAAGAATCAGCCGCTCAATTCATCAAAAGGGTGCGGCTAATGAAGGGGCGATGTCCTACTGCTATTGATGAGAAATAAATGACCAATTTGGTCGTCAGAAATATGCATGTATGCCTGTGAGAGACACTAACGGCACATGATGTGGAAGATTTAGCAAGTCTTGCATCTAAGGCAGGGCGTTTGGAGTATCTTTTCAAAGAAAAAGATCAAAATTTTAGGCGCAACAGGGTTCAGCAAATGGCCAGCATGGAAACAGACCCGTACAGTCCTGATGTCGATCAGCTGGAAGAAATGGCAGTTGAGATTATCTCTGGAAAACCATATGTATGCCCAAAGTTAAAGCCACTACTAGGAACTGAGGGGAGGGATCAACCTACGTTTGATAGTTCTAAAGCCGACGAAATCTTTGATATTCTACTGACATATGGACAGATTCGTATTCCGAAAGGCTAATGACTAGCTACCAAGGAGGAGATCAAAAGAAGACCAAACTGTAAGTGGCATAATTCTTTCACTCATAATACGAATCAATGCACGCATTTTCGAAAGGAAATTCAAAGGGCCATCAAGATAGGGCGACTCAAATATGTTACTTTAGGAGTCGAACAACAACCATTTCCAAAGGCTACAATGGCTATGATGGATGCTTGGGCAAACCCTAAATCAATAAAAGGGCATCAATCAAAGAGACAACGATAAGGAAAGTTTAAAGTTTGTGAAAAACTAGTAGCAAAAAAGTGGGACAGTCAGGATGGTTCTTTCGATGTAGAAATCAAGGAACATATGATGGTTCGGGATCATCCCACTCAAAGGACTGGTTTAGTTGGAGATAGTTGGGCGTCGGTTGCAGTTTGGATTGGATCGGGTTTGGTTGCTAGGCATGAAAGCACAGATTGGATTGAGTTCGGTTGCTAGGTAAGAAAGCACACCCATTATGAGAGAGTAAGGCGTCGGTTGTAGTTTGGATTGAACCGAGTTCGTCTAATAAACACGGAATGCACACCTGTTGTGAGAAAATGGGACGGTTGAAGTGCACAACCGACAGAAGCGGTCAGTAGTCGGTTAAGGGCACGTGTCATCAGGAGATTAGTCTCTAGGTTTAACTGATACAAGTTTGGTAACCGATTTAGTGACGGTTCAGGGTGGTTCTGACGGTTCAAGGCAGTTTTGAAGAAATATTTAATATTCAGGGGAATCAGGAAAAAAAAATCTTCAATCAGTCAAAATTAAGAATCATATGTTGGGGTCATCCTTTACTTGTTTGTTTTATCTACTTTAACGCATTGAAAAACTTATGTATATATTTATTATCCAAATTCGATAAGTATTCTTTCGAATTTCATTTTGTATTGTTGAAAATATCTCAAACAATTGTATTAGGAAAATAATCAACATGTTTTAAGAAATTTAAAATATCAAGAGCTCCCAATTTTATTTTATTTTATTTTGGTAAAAATATTTGGAGTAATTTCAACTCCACCTATAAGTCATAGCCATGAATACCACATTTATTACCATTTTTAAGTTTATCTTCTAAATTCATACAATAAGACTTTAAACTTGAATAATCTAATGAAGACAATTTTTCGGAAGAAAATAAAAAACCAACCATATTTGCGTATTGCTCATATTGTTCAAATTTTTTTTTTTTCAAAAAAGACAATTGCTTGATAAACAATTAAATTAAATTATTAGTTTTTATGTATTTTAAACATATTTAAGGACTATTCATCTATCCCAATTCTCAAGAAATTCTTTTGGTATTATTGATAAAAATTTGGTAATGATTACAATATATTTGTAGTTTTTTTATTTTTTTTATAAATAATTCATTGTATAATTTTAGCATATTTATTTTAATATTTATATCTATTATTGAATTATAATAATATCATATATATATATATATAAAGTTATTATTTATTAACATATATATGAGTAGGCCTCTACAAATTAGGAATGGTAATATAAATAATCTGTTATGTAATTTTAATATATTTATTTTAAGTAGATATATAATTACTTTATTTGTATCTATTATTGCCCAAGTTATTTTGGTATGTAGACAGATAGTGCCTTAATTCCAGCAAGACTTCCCAAAAGAAAAAATATATATATATATATTTGAAGAAAGTCCAAATTATGAAAATTTAGCCATTCTATTTCGGTGCAAAGGAAAATTAATGTGGGATATTTTATTTAAAAAATGTGAGTGATTTACTCAACCGTCGTACAAAGAAACTAGGATTGGTGTTGAGTATCTCATCATCTATCCATATCGATTCTCCTCAGTTTGAATGATTATTTTATACAAAAAAACTCACTGAAGAGTTAATCGGAGATAGGAAATAAAAGACTTCCAACCGGAGAAGATGATCAGAATCTGAGCAGCTCGGCTATATGGTTGTTGTTAGTACGCCTTTGCGACGACGTAAACCTATGTAGGTGTTTTTTTAAGGTAAACCAATATAGGAGTTTGGGGTTGAAGGAGTTGTGATTGTATATGTTCTATAATGAGTATTGATTAGTGGAATCTTTCCTGGATTGGTATCCTCGGATGTAAATTGGTTGAAAATCAAACCGGTCGACAAATACCTTATCTCATTTGTTGTTTTGAGTTCTACATTTTATTTGTCGTTAAGGTGTTGTTTTAACTGTGAACTAACCACGCTTCGGGAGTTGACCATATTTAAAGTGTTCGAAGTTGTTTTGTTCAATCCATTACTTCTCAATAATATATATATATATATATATATTAATGGAGCCCTACAAATTACGGGCTTGTAGGATCTTTTATGAAGCACGTGCTAATACTAGACTATGTTAGTGAGGATATGAACTTGTCTTTTAAATGCAAGCATTTTCCGTTGCAATTAGTTAAATAATTAAATCTTTTGCGAAAATCCTTGCATTATGTTAGTGATGATATGAACTTGTCTTTTAAATGCATGCATATTCCCTTGCAATTAGTTAAATAATTAAATCTCTTGCAAAAATTCTTGCAAATTGATTTTGGTTTTTTTTTTTTAAATTTTATAGCGTCTAGTTGCTAGAAGCCCATATTTAATTCTTTATGTCGAAACTTATTAAATCCAAATCGATTTCGAGGCCAACAAATATAGTAACAATTGATTCACATGGAAACTCTGATAGTTATAACTGTAAGAAGATTTTCCCCATCTATTTCATGTTAATTAAATTTCATTTGTTTTCGAAGTCTTGTTTCTGTTCCCAAATTAGTTTCATCATTTTTCTCAACACTAGCCTTAAAACTTTAATTAGTTTAATTCGAAATATTACGTCAATATATATATATCCCGTTATATTTTTCAAAAAGCTTTAATTTAAATCCAAAACAATTATTTAAATTGTGATCATAGTTGAAATTGAAAGCCTAGGCTGCCCTTATTAATCTTGTGCAACTTTAATTTATTTAGCCCAAGTTTGTGATGGTGATGGTGATGGTTATGGTTATGGTTAGGGTTATGGTGTGAAAACTGAAACGTAAAATTAAATTGCTGGTCACCTAATCAGCATCATCATCATCACCATATATCAATTAGTTAGTTTAATTAGTTACGTTGTGGTTGGCAAATAATCATGCAGAAGCCAACCCATATATCTTTAATTTAATTACACAAACGGATTCCATGTGATCATCAAAAGTAAACCTTGTGAAATTTTACATTTTCATTTTCCCCCACCAATAAATCTCAACCCTCTAATTCATTCCACTTATATGTACACACACGTGTGTGAGTGTTGGGGTTATGGTGAGGCTAAAAACCCTAGTCTTTACTCTCTCAGTCTTAAAAAAAAAAATATATTTGTACTTTTATACACATATTTTAATGTGAATGTATATTTTTTTTTGTTACTTTCTTTTTCTTTTATATAAAAAATAGAAATGTGATGTGAATTTTTAAAAATGAGAATATTTTTAAAAGACGAAAAAAAAAAAAAAAAGATAGAGAGAATAATTATTTTCTCATCCAGAAATATGTATTTATTTAATTTTTCATATGTATATATTTAGGTATTTTATTTGTACGTGAGAATCATAGTTACTCAAAATAGTAAGACATTTGTAGAAAGCGAGAAGTAAAGTGTGGTTTGAAATTGAGTAAAATTATCGTAGAGTATTCTCCCATTTAGATATAATCTCGAAATTCTAAACAAGATCAATACCCAATATAGGTTTCATGACTCCATACTATGTTAAAAAAATTTCGGAATTTCAACTTAAAATCAATTTGTATTAAGTGGAGTAGCTCTTTATCTTTATAAATCATTTGAATACCAACATTTTCCAATATGAGATATATTCAATAAATTATAAACAAATAAACAAGATGTTACAGTAGACTTGTCTGAAAGCATGTGTATAAAAATAATGAGCTTTCACCGCAATTGTTTCCAACCTTGTCAATAGCCTTTTGATTTATTAGTGAGTGTATATATCTCATCATCAAACTATTGCGACAAGATTTTGTTTTATAGAAGAATTTTGTGACATAATTTATCTTAAAATTTTCTGTTTTAAGTTCATTTTTCAAGATAAATTAACAAAATTTTGATAGTATAAGATTAACAAAAGATTAAATGAATATTTTGAATATAAACAAAATTATTAAGTGACATAATGAAAAATATCATGTATGTGATCTGTAACGGATGATTTGATAATGTGGAAGTAAATTTGCCCTTATATCTATATATGTGTGCGCGCACCCATGTGTATGCATTTATTTATTTCTTCCTAATTATGTATACACCATTTTGTTGCCTACATAGACAACAACTTCACCACCCAATTAATACAACCAATTCCCTCTCCCTATATAATAACTATATGCACACGTAAAATATTTGCTATTCATACAAATTAAACAAAGGGCAAACCCCAAAATAATTAGCTGTTTTTTGTCATTCAATCTATGATCAATATAAATCTTTAGAATTTAGGCCAAAAACTCAATATATATGTATTGTTGCATAAGTAGTGTAGCAATGGGGTATCCTTGGGGAAACCCTTATGGTTGGAGTCAAGAAAAGATGGATACGATGAAGAAAAACTTGATAATTTTAATGGGAAAGGCGAAGGCTTGGGGATTATCGAAATGGACGACTATTTGCAAAGTGGGCCAAGAAGATCGACGCCGAGTCTTTCACTCTTTAAAAGTAGGATTTTCTTTGACTTTGGTTTCTTTGCTGTATTTGACGGAGCCTTTCTTCAATGATATCGGCCAAAGTGCTATTTGGGCCGTCATGACTGTTGTCGTCGTGCTAGAGTTCACAGCTGGTAAGCTATCTAGCTATTTTTAATTAGTTCATTCATTGATGGTCACAAAATTTTCAATTTATAATTTTTTTCTATTGTTATTTTCCTACATATATATTTATTATATGATTTGAGCAGAGTAGACATTTCATTTTAAAGTTTAATCTAAATAAATTGCATAAATTAGATCAAGCTTAAATTTTAAGCATAATAATAATATGATATTTTTACAATGACGAGCTTTCGTATATTTTTTGAGCTCTAGCTCGACTTGGTGTTATGATTAATACGGTGAGATTTTAATAGTTAATCAGAAGGTTTTGAAATCTCACACTTGTAGCATATATCATAAAGCAACTTCATAATAAAGTTGATTTTTCAACTAATGATCTCATCGTTTTGGCAAAATAGATGGAAAATGGATAATTATTTTATCTAAAGAGTTTAAGAATATAATGTATTATTTTAAGGTTTGAATTTGAATTTTGGATTTAAGATAATAAGATTAAAATTAAAATTGTGTGTTTGCTTGATGATTTTTATTTTTTAGCTTTTAAAAATAATTTAAATGTGATATTTTACTGGATTTTTTTTAAGAAAAAATTGTAAGAGTTAAAAAATGAAAAGAAAAATGTTAAGTAGGTGAGCACACTCAGTATCTAGTATCTAAATGATTTAAATATGTGTTTAATATAATGTTTTAAATAAAAACTTATTTTTTTAATATGCAAATGTTTGATTCAATAGTCTTTGAAGAAAAAAAAAATACTAAATAGTGTGAGAACAAATCCAAACTTTAGTAGGTCATAAATTATTGAATTATAATAGACACGGTGCTATGTTTATTACATATGTAGTTACAATATATGATTTTGTTCATCAAAATAATTTGTTACGGACATGATTCCTAATATATATATATTCATCAAAATAATTTTGTTACTAACATGATTCCTAATATATATATATATATATATATTATATTCTAACACAAAAAGTTAGTATTGAACTTAAAATATTATTTTTTATATTATCGATATTATTTTTTATTTTTTATATCTCACATGAATAAAATAAAAATAAATAAATAAAAGTTCAATCTAAATGATTCAATGATAAGTAAAATAATTTGATACTGAACTTTGCAACAAAATTAATGTCATGCGCGCAATGCAAAAGGCGCGACGCTTTGCAAAGGATTAAATAGAGGGATTGGCACATTGTTGGCGGGATCACTTGCTTTCTTGATAGAGTACGTCGCGCAGCAGTCCGGCCGGGTATTCCGGGCAGTATTCATTGGAGTAGCAGTATTCACCATTGGTATGTATGAATCACATTTTAGATTTCCACTCAATTTATTTATCACTTTCGAAAACAAAATGATCATACTGCTAACAAAATAATTTTTATGTTGGATTTCGATATTTTGGCAAGCAACATATTTCTTCTTTTAAATGAATTTTTTATCTACTGATCATACAACTCTATTGAGTAATATAATCATCTTGTTATCCAGATAGATTGAATTAAAGCAAAAAAATAGATTCCTTGGATCATTTTTATGTATATATAATCAGTTATGTATGAGTTTTGTTGTACTGTTTCTATAATTTATATTTGAAAATACTAGTGAAAAATATATAATTTGGCTGCTTTAAAAAATGAAGATCAGTTTTATCGAACTCATCATTAAATTATTGTCGTTTTTTGTGCATTTTCATCTTGATTACCAAAGTTTCATCACAATATATATAGCCAACATAAATCCATTGATATAATCGATCACTTAGGTGTTGATTGTTGTTATGGAGAAATTAAGATGAATATTTTATTGATTGATATAAAATTCTTATAGGAATATATCATATGTTGTGTTTATATTAATTCAGCATTTACTAAATTTATTTTCAATCATATATTTTATTACATCTAATAAAATAATTAAGTTACTAATATCTAAATCAAGAGTTGTAATTAGATTTACCAATATCGAATCTATAATTTCAGTATGGGATCCTCACCGGATTTTTATTGAGTAATATGATAATTTTATTTTCAATACATACTAAATATATATATATTAGCATCGAATTATTTTTATTTATATATAATTAGTTATACGACTAACATAAATGCATGTAATCAATCAATCAATGCGGTGTTGATATTTTACATAGTGAAGTAATGCAGGAAGTGCGGCGACCTACATAAGATTTGTGCCGTACATAAAGAAGAACTACGACTATGGAGTGGTGATATTCTTGTTGACCTTCAATTTGATTACGGTTTCGAGCTTTAGGGTTCACAATGTGCTGAAAATGGCGCACGAGCGCTTCTACACAATAGCCATCGGTTGCGCCATTTGCCTCATCATGAGCCTATTCATCTTCCCCAATTGGTCGGGCCAAGACCTCCACAATTCCACCGTCTCTAAACTTGAAGGCTTGGCAAATTCCATCGAAGGTAACCTACCTATCTTAGACGTTAATTAAACATAAAATTCGGTAGTGAATTTCTAATAATTTGACTCAATCAGTATATATAATAAAGATAGATAATATATTTCGTATATTAACTGGATCAAATTAATACCATACTAATGGTCCATTCCTAAAATTTACTTCTGATCATAATACGTACTCTCTCTGTCTGCCTCAAAGGTCACATTTACCTTTTCTGTCATTATATTATCATTAAAAATATCCTTATATTTGTATAATTTTTTTTAAAAATATCATTCTATTAGTATTATAACACAATAATGGAAGTATTTTTGCAATTTTTTCTTAATTTGTACTATGTTTTAATATAATAATTAAATATTCAAATATCAACATGTAAAAGTAAATGAGACCTTAGAGCCGGACGGAGATAGTATAATATACATCGATACTTTTTTTTATCTATATACACAAATAATAATAATAATGATAATAATAATAATAATAATTTTTGTGTCCCGTAAAGGATGACCAGTGAACTTGTGAGCGTGAGGTAATGGGTTTAAACCCCGACGCCTTTAGGTCCACCCGTCACACATAGTTCGCCTAATGTGACTTGTTTTGTCGGATCTAGTTTGCAGAATATTAGATTCGACCGGGATTTTACCCAATGCATACTTTCGGGTAGCGATTGCGGGTTCCTTATAAAAATAATAATAATAACAACATAACTTTCTTCTTTTTTTTGTATAAATTATCAATGTTATTAATTGGCAGTATGAAATGAACCACACTGAAAACCAAATTAGGATGCACGGTTTTTAACTTATGATCACAATTCTCTCTTAATTATAAAAGTTGTATAATATTGTTACGGAAATTAGTTTAAATTTTACCTTAGTCAGTAATAAAGTAGAATACAAGAAATTGAAATATAACCAAATAGTGGAAATTTGGAAAAATAGAATATGACCTTATCTCATAAAGGTAAAATAAAAATAATGCTATAAAGAATTGCTTCCAACCATATTAAATAGATCTATTAGTGTGTTCTTCCATTTTTTTTTTAAAAAAAATTTAACATACTTTTCGATTAATAAAAAAAATAATACAATATATACATATATCACAAAAGATATATAATATATATTCTATTTATTCAAAAAATAAACAAATAAGAAAAAAATTATTTTTTATACTACTAATATATTTTTCTATAACGTAAAAAGATACATCAAATTAAAAAGAAAAATAAAAAAAATAAATCAAATACACGCGTTTTGTAGAAATACATATATATCTGTTTTCAGATTTGAAATTTTTTAAACATAATATATATATATATATATATATAATTAAATGTTAAATAGACCTTGCAATATTTGTTTAACAAAAACATGTTACTAATATTTTCTTGTGAAAATTTCACTTACTTTTGTATTTGAAATTTCGAATAATTTTACGTGTGTACAATATTATAATATATATATATATATATTTGAAGAAAATTCAATATTACAATTAATGGTATCTCACCAAAATAGTGACTTGAAGGTGATCAGTATGGTAAAAAGTAGTCACCTTTAAATTCCTTCAAACTCGTGAATTTCTAGAAACATTTCTTTTGTTTTTAAAAATATATTTTCTTATATTATTTACGTTTGGGTGTTTTTACATAAAATAATGATTAGACGACATGACAGTTTTATGAGAAAACATGTTATGAATAATAAAACTGTACTTCGTTTTATGGTTTAGATAATATTGCAAAAAGATACTTTATCCGTTAATTAGGACTTAACAAAGATGATAGAATAAGTGCTTAAACTGCAAAAATTATTATACATTTCTAGATAACAAGAAAGAAAGTTATAAAAATAGTCACATGTGTATTATTAATATTAGTTTTCTTCCCCCCTTTTATTTATAAATTTGTAATAATACTCGCAGTTTAAATGCGAATGTTACCATCTTTATTAAATACTAATGAATTGAGTATTTTTACAATATTATCTTAATCACGAGTAGATAAAATAAAATTTTAAAACCAAAGAATCTTTTCAGAAAATTTTGCAAACCATCGGAAATTTTTTTACTATATTGTCTCTATGTTATCACTATATACATATATATATATATATATACACACGTGTGTATGTTTTGAGAAAATTTAATTGTGCAAAATAATAATGTATACATTTTTGCAGCATGTGTTAACGAATACTTCAGCAATGAAGATCCAAAAGCATCCGAGCAGAAAACATCAGATGATCCTATTTACAAGGGCTACAAAGCGGTTCTTGATTCTAAATCAACCGACGAAACTTTGGTGCGTACACTCTTACACACTTACATGTTATGTGAATACATATAATTATAATTCGATTAATACTATCATTTATTATATTCATCTTTTAAGCAAACTATATTTGAAAATCATGTTGTATTTAACTTGTCGTTCCTTTAATGGTCCTAATTTATTGATCACACATGTGCATTGTCATTTATGTGTCACTTTTGGTGCCATGTAAATGTCACATGCTAAATTAGAATTAATAGAGTAACAAAACAGTAAAATATAATAATTTTCAGATAAAATTTATTTAAAATACTAATATATTAGTAATTGCTACTTGCATATAACCAAAATCTCTTTTTTTTTTTTTTTTTTTTTTTTTTTTCTTGTCCTTTATATATATATATATATATATACTATGAGTAGAATGTTGATTAAGACTAATGTTGGCATATGTTGTGTAAGTAGACTATGACAATATATTATTAGTATTTGTATTCTATTAACATAAAATCTTATATTAAGATCAATTATGATATGTATTATATATATTTTTATAATATGTTGTCAGTAGAGTGCTGATTTAACTTAATCAATACCATAACTACCTTTTTTTTTTTTTTTCATTTATTCAATAAGTTTGTATACAAACTTCAACTTGTTATACTTATGCACAAGTTTGAATTTTAGTGTACTAGTAGAAAAAATTGTAGAAAAATATTACTTAAATTAATTCCACTCGAACTTGAATATGAAAATCAAAATTAGAAAGTTTTCTAATAAGTTATATATGTCTTCAACTTGAAAAATATTTTTGTTTCAGAGAACAGGAATTGAGTTTAGAGTACTAAAAAAAAGAGGAAAAAAAAGCTTAACTCGACTCGAGTCGACTCATTTATCTCTTCTAATAATAAATATTATTACGATTAAATAAATTAGGCATTACATGCAAGCTGGGAGCCATGCCACTCGAGAGAGTGCAAAAGATTTCCATGGCAGCAGTACGTTAAGTTGGGAGACATTCTTCGACACTTTGGATATGCTGTTGTTGCTCTCCATGGCTGCCTTCAAACTGAGATTCAGGTTTTATTTTATTTACTCCTTTTTAATATTATCGGCTCAATTTATTTGCTAGTTTTTGTTTTGTTACAGGTTTTTAGGTGGTATAATTTTGATTTTTTTTTTTTTTTTTTTACCATTTTGTCTTTATTTTTTGTTTGTGATTATTAACAAATTGTATTGATAAGGGTAAAAGAGATAATTTTAGTATGAAGTAAAGAAACTTACAAATATTTTGGAATTTCACAAAATAGAAATAATAACAAAAATAAAAATAAAAATAAAAATTGAGACATGGAGAGTAAAATATTTCTTTCTTTCTTTGTTCACACAAACATAAATATGTAGTGACTACTCTTGTCTTTTGGGATGTTTGTGATTTTAGATTGCTTTTAATTTGGAAATTTTTTATAGAAATTAAAGTTTTACAAGTGTTTTTCAATAGGATAATTGGTTGACTTGAGAGAGACATAATATTTTTAGGTCCCATTATAATTTTTGTAATACTTTAGATCTCATTAGTATATAATTAATGTATATGTGTGTATATATATATATATATATATGTTATATGTATTATTTTAGGTCCTACTACTACATGAAATTTTCAATAAAATTTCGGCTAATCCTGAGTAATATGGTGGTGTTAAGTTGCAAATAAATTGTATTCATTTATAGTTTATATAAGTTAATCTATTTAACACAATTTAAAAAAAATTAAAGTGTGTATAAAACTAAACAAATTGTTTTTAAACATTTTATAAAAGTATATAAAATGATTTTAATATTATATAATGTATAAATTAATTGTATATAAAATAATATATTTGTAATTTATATAAAAATTGATAATGTTTTAGTATTAATACTTAATTACTTTTACTATAATAAAAAAATATTATATTTTTAAGTACCACATAGGAAAATTATCAAACTAGTAAGAGGGAGTATTTTTGTTTAAAGGAAATTATGATGCGTACATAATAATAATAATAAAAATAAACCAAGCTGTTATATTACTCTCTCCGTCCCGCAAGAAGGTTGACATTGACTTGTATTGATCTTTAAATATTAATTATGATATCAATACGTAGTACAAATCAAGAAAAGAAAACAAAAATATCTTTATTAGTCTTTTATAATACATATACAATGATATTTATCGAGTAAATTATTCAAATATAAAGATATTTTTAATGTTAAGTCGCAAAAACCAAATGACAACCTCCTTGCGGGACGGAGGGAGTATTATTATTTTTTAAGTAGAATAATTACTAAATATTAAAAAAAGTAATACTCCCGCTCTAACTCTAAAAGTTACATTTAACTTTTGTGTCATTGTACTAAATATTAAAAATATCTTTATATTTGTAAAAAAAAATTGCACAAATGTCATTATAATAGTATTATAAGACACTAATAAAAATATTTTTGTCATTTTCCCTTAATTTATATCACGTTTTTATATAATAATTAATATTTAAATATCAAGATGTAAAAAAGTAAATGAGACTCTTGCGGCCGGACTAAGGTAGTATATTTTTATCCAAAATGCCGAAATTGTATAGTTTAAAAAGAAAATTATAGAAAACCATTGTTCATCTTATAATTGTATGAGTTATTTCATGAACACCTCAAGACTCCGAGGACTGTAAGAGCTCTCTTCAAAGATCCTTGCATTCGAGTCGCCGGAGAAGTGTCGAAAGCCCTACTCGAGCTCGCCGAGAGCATCCGGAAGCGCCGCCAATGCTCGCCAATGGTCCTCTCCGACCACTTACACGAAGCCTTGCAAGACCTTGACGCTGCCCTCAAGTCGCAGCCGCGCCTCTTCCTCGGCCGCCACGCAAAGTCGAGCAACAACATCCTCGCATACGCCGCCGCCACCGCTGCCGCCGCGCGCAACAAGCCCTCCAACGGCGAGCTCGGAATCTCCCTCCCGAGCGTCAAGACCGACTCGTCCGCATTGCTCGGGTGGAAGAAGTCGTCGTCGAAGCGTCACAACGGGGAGGCGGTCGAGCGCAAGGCGCTGCGGCCTACCATTAGCAAGGTTTCCATCACGAGCCTCGAGTTCTCGGAGGCGCTCCCGTTCGCCGCCTTCGCGTCATTGCTCGTGGAGGCGGTGGCGCGGCTCGACCTCGTGATCGAGGAGGTCGAGGAGCTTGGCCGGATGGCGAACTTCCGGGAGTTCGCAGAATATGACGATGATGTGGCAGGGAAAGAAGACGAGGGTAAGAAGCTGCAGCAAGAGGTGATCAATGAGAACAAATTAGGGAACCATTTGCAGTCTCATGTAACAGATTGTTAGATTCGTTGTTGTTAGGGTTATTTGAATCTCAATATTAATAACAATTATATTATTATTGTTGTTGTTATTACTCTCCCTCCCAACGTATACATACCATGTTATATTTTTCGTTCATTTCACCTATTATGTCATTATTCTTTTATATATATATATATATATATAAAATTATATAGTTTAGTTATATTTTTAAAATTTTAAATATATTAATTAATTATTTTTATTTTAATCTGTAATTTTTTATTATATTATAATTATTTTTTAATATATTTTTAATTTAATAATTATACCTTAATTAAATTTTCATATCTACGGTGATTCTTACATAATAGGTACGGAGAGAGAGTATTAATCAAAGATTATTTGACGAAAAAAAGTGTTAAAACCCTTGGAGAGCTATGGTCATTGTGTTTTTTCTAACATAATATTTTTAGGTCGAATGATTTTTCGTAAATATTATTAAAAATATAATAAATACATATTACGAAAATTCTTCATAATTAATATAAAAAATATTCATAAAAAAATGGGTGTGTTTATTTTGTGAAAAAATTGGAGAAAAAAAATTATATGAAGTATAAAAAATTGTGTAGAAAAGATAAAAATAGTAAATATGTATAGTATATTAATATTTTTTTAGAAAAAATGAAAGAAAAAAATTGAAAGAACAAAGCCACAAAATAAACAAACTCATATTTGGTCTCCTTTCATCGGTTACCGTGCAGATTAAACATGCGCTGTTAAATTTGTTTAATTTAGTACCTAATTGTCTATAATAAATAAGATTAATTTTATAATTTGACTATACACAACATACTTCAGTGTTTTATATTATTGTATTCGATATTCTCATTGTCTAATAATAGTGCTCTTTATTAATACTGAAATTTTTCAAAAGTATGATAATTATATCTAAGAGCATAATATTGATAACATAGTAATACAATAATAATATTTAAATAGCACAAATATTATTTTTAAAAAGCACAATATTATGTTTTAGTTAAAAAAAATAAACAATAAAAAAATAACAAAAATAGTCAGTCAGTAGTTTACCTCCTCTCCTGTATAAAAATTGTTGCAAATCTGCACCATATTTTGGTGAAACCTCCCTTCTATTTAATTATCCCTATATTATATAAATCCCTATATTAAATTTATATAGTACTCCTTCTCTTTCATATGATAATTGACATTTTTTAAAAATTTTGTTGTCACAAAACAGTAGATATCACTTATTAAATCAAAATATACATAAGATATAACATTATAAATTATATAAAATTCATTCAAAATCCTTTTATTTATTTCTTTTTTAAAAAACTAAATATTTTTATTTATATTTAAAACTTCACAATTTTTTATAAAATTAATTTATGTTAATTATAAATAAATAAAAGTATTTCTTATTTACTTGTATTATAAAAAATTTTATTTTTAAAAATTATTAATATTATTAATTACATAAAAATAATAAAATAATATCATAATTTACTATTATTAAATAATTAAATATCATTTCCTTAAATATTCGTGTCACTAATAAAATGATTCAATTTTGCATGTTAGAAAGGAGGAAATATATTACAAGAAGAATATGGAGACCGACTTTACAAAAGCCGCAAAAAGGGTATCACCTCCTGTAAGAAGGAGACCAACTTCTATCTCTCCACTCTTGCGTGAATACCTATCTTGGGATGGTGATGGATTGTTCGTTCGACGGTGCGAAAAAGACTGCAATCAATAAAATGATTCGAAGGTATGGTAAGTCAATCATATATGTTGGGTCTGAAATGTGATGAGAGAGAACTAACTTATAAGTTAATGTGTATGGTATATGATAAATTTGCTCTGAAAATCATAACATTAGAGGAATTGGATAAGGTGAACAATATTTCATTGAATAAGTTGATTGGAAGTTTAAAGACTTGAGACGAATTTCTTGGAAATCAGAAACTACTGCTACTGAAGATAGAGATGAAAAGTTTGCCCTTATAACAAAACAAATAGCTTGAATAATCCAAGATAAAAGGGTCAGACAGCTAAAGTAACAAGGATTTCTAGGCGGCAGTCCGAACACAATTTGAACAAGTGACAAACAATATGGAATGGAAAGAATACTCAAAAAACTGGTGGCCCTGCTAAGGCTGGTGTTCAGAGGCTAATGCATCTAAGATGGTTAAAGTATCGAAGAAATCATGCATATCGAATGATGTTAGATGCTTTAGATGTAATGGATATGGGCACATCAGAGCTTAGTGTGAAACAACCAAAATAAAGGACAAGAAAGCCATGGGAGTTTATATAGATTGACAAAGAAACCGAAGAACAAGAATCTATCCAAGAAAAACAAGAAAATATGTTGAATGACTAGTTATTTTTACTACACGGGATGATGAGAAGAGAGAGGAAAATCAAGATGTTGAACTTACTGAAATGAGCTGTGAATAACTAATGGAGGCATATAACATGATGGTGGCTGAACATAAAGCATTAGTTGTCCAAAATGACAAATTAAAGGAAAGTTTTATGAGATTAAAAAAAATAATAATAAACAAGATCAAGATATTTATTGAAGTGAATGAAAAAATAGTAGAAATGAATGATGAATTTTCCTTAGAGCATGAGAAATTGCTTCAAGTCTATAATGAACATTAGGGAAAATCGGCAAGTTGGTAATGGAAAATAAAGAATTAGAATGTGAACTCAATGGGTAGATGAAAGGGAAACAAAAGTCTGACGAAGTACTGAATGTCAGGAAAACATACGGTGATCATAGAAGGATTGGCTACACTCATGGAGCTAGAACTTCTTAAACAATATTTTTTAGAGGCGGATTACTTTTAGAATCAGCTGAGAATCAGGTTACTGCTGAAATACATTATGTTCGAAGTCTTTCTGGAAATCAAATGAATGTTCGGAGATCAGGCAGACAACGGTCAAACTATAGGTACTACAAAACAACCGGACATCGGGTGTTGGACTGTGATCGAATCAAGGAAGATTTATCCTTTGGCAGAAAGGTGTTTGGGTTATCAAAACACTTGAAGTACATAATTATGACTAGATTGGTATGGAGACCGAAAGTTAATCAATGAGCTTGTCTAGTTGCATTGTCCATACGGGATGTTGAAACGAATGATACATGGAATTTGACAATGGATGCTCTAGACACATAACACATCAAAGGAAGTTTTTGACAAATTACCGTGAAACAAAATGTGGAAATGTCATGTTTGCGGATGAAACAAAAGAAAAAAATTATGGGCATGGTACTCAAGTTTGATGAAATTCCTGAGCTTAAAAAAGTATAATATGTTAAGATCTCAATACCAACTTAATAAACATCAGTCAACTATGCGATGAAGGTATGGAAGTTAAATTCTCGAAAATTGGATGTGAGGTTTGGAGTATGTGGGAGCAGGTGATGAATGGAAATCGATCGAAAAATAATTAATATGTGCACACTCAAACTCTAGAAATGGTTTTGTTGACTAAAAAAGAAGATCTTATTTTGGCACATGAGGCTTGACTATACTAACTTCCAGAACCTAATCAACATTAGTAACTTGGGAGCAATTTGTGGACTACCAAAGATTTCGAACTCAAAGTTTGTTGTATGTGATGATTGTTGCAAGGGAAAGCAGAGCAAAATTGATCACAGGGTGTCTGATCGGTATGCGAGCAACAGGTGCTTGGACACACATATCTTATGGGTCCTACTGAAATTAAGAGCATTGGTGAAAAGAGATATGTTTTGGTCATTGTAGACAACTATTCCAAATATTTTTGGGTAAGGTTTTTTAAGGACAAAAGTAAGGCTTTCGAGAACTTCCAGGTGCTATGTGAGCAGGTGTCCAATGAGAATGAATTTAAGGTTATGAGGATCAGAAGTGACCATAAGAGAGAGTTTGAAAACAAATCATTCGGAGACTTCTGAAAACAAAGATGAATTGTTCATGAATTTTCGGCTGCCAAAACCCCCAGCATAATGGTGTTGTTGAAAGGAAAAAATGTAATATTACAGGAGATGGCAAGGTATATGATGCATGCGAAGGAAGTACCTAATAATTTACTTTCGAACCTTCAGGTGCAGATGTTATGTTTTAAATGACAGAGATGTGCTTGAAAAATTTGAATCAAGAGAGGATGAGGGAATCTTCTTAGGGTATTCAAATAATAGTCAAGCTTATTGTATCTTTTATCTCATTAGTAGAAAGGTTATAAAGTCAGTCAACGTAAAGGTCCATAGTGAATTAGGTGAAGAAAAGGATCGAGACCTAGATGAAGAAAAACTAGAATTGAAAGATAATTCTAGAGGATCAGACTTGCAGAAAATTGCCAGCAGTGAATAGAAGGTGAATGCAGTCCAAACATCAAATGTACTGCATGAAGCCAACAGCTCCATGCCAAGGGCTGAAGGTCCATCGAAGGCTAGCAACGTCCATCCAAAGAATTAGATTATTGGCGACCATCTTGGTCCAATTTTGACGAAGGGAAAGTCAATTAATTATAGAGAGATTGTTGGATTGAATTTTTTTCTCTCTAAGATTGAACTAAAAATTATTCGTGAGACCTTAAAAGATGACTATTGATTGACGGCTATGTAGGAAGAACGACTACAATTCGAAAGAATTGAAGTGTGGGAGTTGATTGTTCCTCCAAAATGTGACAACTTCATTGGGATGAAGTGAGTCTTTTGAAATAAAATAGATGAAGTTGGAAATATAGTTCAAAATAAAGGTAGGTTGGTCGCCCAAGGTTACGTCCAAGTTGAAGGGTATGATTATGATGAGACGTTTTCTCCGACTTCGAAGTTTGAAGCTGTGAGGTTGTTGTGTCCATTAAAAAGTCTCATTTGAAGGCCGTAAAATGAATCTTAAGGTATGTGAAGAATACCTCTGATTTAGGATTATGGTATTCCAGAAAATCATCACTTGAGCTAGTGGGATATAAGGATACAGACTAGGTGGGGTGTTGTGATGACCGCAAAAGCACATAAGGAGGCTGGTTTTATCTCAGGAAAAACATGGTAAATTGATTTTTCCAAAAAGAAAACAACATAGCTATGTCCACAGCCGAGACATAATACATTGTGGCCGGCGGCGAATGCT